GCACTTCACTACCTTTAGAGAACAAGAATCTTTCCTGCTTCCAGACTTCCGTTCGCTTCCCCTTTAGAGCGACTACCCGAACAGGGAGGAATATACCTGATCCAAAGAAGCAGTATCTCCCAAAGTTGGTGTTCACGCCCAAAGAATAAACCAAGATCCGCTCCTGCTGAAGATGACATAGCTGTGGGTGGAACGGAACTAGCAGAGTGCGTCCTACACACTGGATCCTTCGCAAGAATCCCCTGGAAACTCTGAACACCGAATCTTCTTCAGTCTTTTCTGCAAGACTGATGTCAAGAACTGGTTTCTTGACTTCTTTTCTCTACAAAGATCGAATCTTGTGAGAAGCAATGGTGGCGGCGGCTGGAGGAGAACTCCAAGGACGAAGACAATTGTGTTGCTTCTCTTCTCTCTAGAGTATGAATGAGATCTAATCTCTATTCGTAGGAAGCTGTCTTTCTTTTCTTGAAACCCTTGGTTCGAAATCTGATGTTTTTCTCTTGGGTTTTTTCTTCATTTCTTTTTGATTAAGAAACCTCCTAATTAGGAGTTATCCCAATCCAAATCAGTATTTGGATAGGGGATTATCTTAATCCTATCTGCAGATTAAGTTAGCTTACTCTTGTTCTTATCAGGAGGTTACCAGATTCAAATCTGATTTGAATTTGGTCTCCTAAAGTGGATAAGGTTAAAAGGCCCTATCCTTTTGCTAACATAATCACAGATCCGCCCCATAGATGGGTGATCACATCAGCTCGAAATGGGCTTTTGTTCCATTAAGTGTTCAGTGCTTAAGTTGTTTCCAATCTGTTGTCCAGTTGGGCTTCTTTGTATGGCGTGGGACCCAAACATTGATCTACACACCAGCCACATGGGTTCGGCCCAGCCTTTATTACAAGGTCCAACCGAATTCACTGAAAAGCTCAGTGAACCCCTGAGCCCATCACATGGACCCTATGGGCCCAACACTTACATTAAGTAGTCCCTGGGCCAAGCCATCTTATAAAAACCCAGGGACTGTGGGCAGGTGCAAGATTAGCCCATCAGGTACTATCCAAAATGGTCTTACACTTAACCTCTC